GACCACACAAATTTTAAAACAACTCCCACTATAAATATCTGGCACATTTGAATCCCTCAGCCAGCCAATTCAACACAACACAGGCATATTTCAGGTATCTCAGGGAAAGCACTTCCTTTACTTCTCATTCAACCAAATACCAACTGTTTCTAAATTAAGTTAATTCTAAATTCTGACATAAAATTTTAAAATCATTCTGAAGCACAAACGGCATCAATTCAGCTGAAATTGGCTCTCCATAAAGCAAATCCACTGCAGCCACTAGTGAAGGCACAGCAACCTGAAACAGCTCGCTCAGATCCTGTGACCCATCAAAGGAGCAACAGGGATGAGTACAAATGAACATGCCTGACTTCTGCAAAGGGGTGACCAGTTTGATCACTTTTTTGTTGTTTACAAACAACATTTACAATGAGTGCTGAAATATAAACACACACAGCTCTTTGTCTGTAACCTGCACAGGACAAACACAAGCCCTGCCACCCTCTCCTCCAGGGCAACCAGGACCTCGTGGCTGACTTCTCACCCACCGGGAAGAGGCTAAAACAGGAAGATCCACACACACTGTCCTTCCAAGCAGGTGGCACATCTGAATTCTCAGCTGTTCTGGGGTTTATGATTAACAAGCACGCTGCCCTGACCTGAACAGAGAGCTCATTGCCACTGCAAGCCTCCACTGAGGTTCAGGATGAGTGGACTAACATTTGAAAAGAAAGGCCACTCAGTTCAGAGAAATCCAGAAGATCTGGATCACTTAGGTTGGTTTATCTGTTTGTTTTGGTGACGTTTTTTCCTGCTTTTTGAAAGAGAATGAACATTATGATTATATCTCTATGAGCAGGTAGATTCCATAATGCACAGAAAGGCAGTGCTCCCCTGCAATTTTGCCTCAAGACAGGGAATTTTGTTAAAAAATCATAGGTCTGCTGTATCTTACCAGACAAAAGGTACGAGGCAAGTTTGGCTTCAGACATTGTTCTGTAATTCTCTTGAGACACTAATTACCAAAACCCAGGTTTTCTCCCTACCAGAAGTCAAATGAAGTCCAAATGACTTGAACAGAACAAATCTCTAGAGCTGAAAACAAGTTTCACATCTCAGACTCAAGCAGGTTTTTAAAGCTTTACAAACTACTAACAACCAGCTAGTTGTTTCACACTCCTCTGTAATTCCATCCAGATCCCAGAAGAGCCTTTACCTTAGGTACCTCAGCCTCTCTTTTGCTCTCCAGAATGCAGACTCAGATAAAATACTTATCTAAGAATCATCACAGGGAGCCAAGACATCATGGCAGACTTGAAGAAAATCAATCCAAGTGAAATTACAGGACTGAAAAAGGCAAAATTTAGATACACTTATGAAGAATATTTTTTTCTTTTCTAAAACTACTGTATGCAGTACAAAATTATTGCTTCCCATTAGAGACATACTGTGTGTTATCATCTGATAAATGTCAGGAGATCACTGCAAACTCAGAATAATTTTGCAAAACAGCAAGTTCAATATTTCACTACCAAAATCGCCAAGTTGCTTCTCCTAAGACATGGTCAGAGACTCTGGAGACTTCAAGGGCATAACAACACAAGTGAAAATTAGGGCAGGTCAGAAGTTTTATTAATCGTGGCCATGGTGAGAGAACACTGGAACAGCATTCCTCTCCCTCTGTATCACTGCCAAGTGATTGCAGAGACACAAACTACAAAATGATTCTGGGAGGAAAAGGAAAAAAAAAGAGGTGAGGAAAAACAATCATGTAAGTATTAACAAAGCCAGATATCCACCCCTAAGAGGAGTGGACTCTTCAAGAACCTTGCTGATCACCACAATTCAAAGAAAAAATGAATTGGTAAACAGCGTGACAATGTGAGAAAACAGCTTGTGGTGGAGCCATGGGAGTGCCACACCTGGTATCACCCTGGTATTATCAAAAGGAGAGAGCCTGAAACACTTAGAAGCAGTTAGCATTTTGTCAAAAGGCATGTTATTTTAGTTAGGCTAAATTTCTTAGGCATCCTAAATATTAATTTTAGCACCTCAATGTAAAATCCAGGGGAAAGGGCAATTCCAGAAAATAAACCTCTAGTGACTTATGTTCTTTCAGTGGCATGCACTCCCCCAGTAATTTCTGTTCCCTGTAGAGGAGAGGCACAAGAATCACTTTGCCAGCTGCTATCCCCCTCTCCACATTACATCCACAAGGCCAGCAGATGTGACCATAAACACAGCTTTTAATTAACATGTTTTCTTTCATTTCAAAAGGTGCCCTCTAAAGGGCTCCTCCAAGAGGAACTGCTGAAACAATTCTGCACCACCATTTGACATTTTCATGAGCAGCATGAATGAGAAGCAAAATTGAATAGTGAGAAATAAAAGGGAGTTTCCTCTCAGGGAAGACCTAGGCAGCAGGAAGGGGATTGCTCCAAACCTAGGAAGTCAATGCAGCCTTCACAAGGCTCAAAACCCCCTGCACATTTTTGTGTCTCCATGTTACTCTCAAATGCAACCAGGGCACGCTGTAAAGCCCTGGTGAGCACTTCTGAAGTCCAGAGGAGGCTTCCAGGGGCTGCCTGAAAGGGACAATCAGTATTGTGTCATAGCCTCCCACATCAGGAGATGGAGCTCACTTCATGCTGGGCAGAGGTCCCACTTCCAGCTGCTCTCACAGGCTTGACAGGACCAAGCCACAGGGCAGGAAAACCAAGAGACCTCAGCCCACACTGCCCCATCCAGCAGAGTCTGGAGAGATGCAGCTCCAGGACTCCCAGTTCCTGGCATTTCTCCCATTCTCTACTGCAGACTCCTCCTGACAGTCTTCTCTATCATTTCCAACAGCTCAGGACCCTGTGTCCCACACATGCATCTTCACCACCTATCAGGCATGGCTTCATTCACAGGTCCACGACAATGGAAAACAGAAAAGATCATCTTCAATAGGCCCTTCTACAAATAAAGTATAAGGTTGTCTTTATCCTGTGTAGAGGAAGTGGGGGTGAAAGAGGAAGGCTTGATTCTTGTTCCCATTTGCAAATGAAAACTAAGAAATTCAGTTCCCAGTGCTGTAAGACAAAGCACAGAGGAGTGTGTGATGGGGCTCTCCCCCAGTTTACTGTAACCATAAAGGCTGCTGTGACTGTTCACTGTAAGCTAAAAAGAGCAGCTGTTCCTTGCTTTACAGCACGTCCCTCCCACCTGCCCCAGCCAGCAGAAATCCCACTGGAGCCACAGCCAGTAATGCTCTGTTGAAACACCATTTCTCTGGGATGGCCACAGGCTCCTCAGAGAGCAGCACTGCAGAACCTTTTTCAGAAAAAAAATAAACCTGTAGGATAACTGGGACGTGGTTTCACATCTTGGTGACAGACTCTAATTTAAGGGGTAGAAGAAGGGCACATGGGATCAAACACAAAGAACCTTTCATTTCTATTTCAGAAGCTCAGACTGGCCCTCTTCTACAAGTCTAGCTGAAAGCAGGATTACCTAGTTGAGAGAGGTCTACACTTCAGGATTCATGAAGTCCATTTCCAGCTCTGATCTGCTTGCTGTAAATCCTCCCTTTCATCAGCAGTTTACGCTTGCTTAATTTTATGGGTAAAACAGCAGCATAGCCCAAAGATGTCTCTCAGAGTATCTTTGCAGCACTCAAAACAGCACCGAATTTCTGGGGCCTCTGTGCCAGTCTTGAGCTAGCTGGGTGATTCGCAGGGTGAAATATTCTCAGCAGTTTGAGTTGAATATTCACTAGGCTTAGCTTCCTTTTACCAAGCATCTCATTTATTCCAGGGCCTAAATTTACAAGTCCTCAGATGATGTGCATACAGAGGACTTAAGCAGTCCTGCTATTCTCAATCTCTTTCAGTAATTGTCTAGAAACTACTACTGTAGGAAAAGCAGAGGGCAGATTCAAGGTGAACTCCTCTAATCCAGCACCCTGGTCATCCAGCATCCAACATCTGCCAACTCATTTTGAGAGAGACAGACAAAAGACACTGACAGAGGAAAGGAGTAATAGGTCAGTCAGGTCAGATCTGCACATGCTGCATGGGGAACTGAGGATGTTTTGCACACACCCTCTCTCTCTATTATGCAATAATAGAGGACACTAGAGAAGACCCAAGCCCTACAGTGAGCAGCCTGCAGTTTGAGGAATTTTTGCTCTAATTACCCACAGCACAGGACTTTTATATTATGGTAATAGAAATACCTGTATCTTTAGCACATGCCAAAACCAAGAAGTTAATGGAAGGTAAACTGGAAGGCCAACATTCAAAAGAGTCCAGAAGAAAGGGCTTCAGGGTTTCTTCCAAGAACAACTTACAATTAAACTACTCCTTCACCCTGGGAAGGAGAGGCAGTAGCTGCCTCTGTTCAGCACTCAGGAGTTCTGTCCATCAGAAGATAATGAAGGAGATGCCATGTGAGTCTGAGGAATACAACGCTAAAGTGACCTTTCAGACTAAGAAAGCATAAAGGAGTGAAGGCACAAGTTGACAAGGGATTCTGAAACGGGGAAACAAAATTTACAAACCCTCTTGGCCAAACACAGATTTGCTCTCCACAATTCTCCTCAACACAGATCCACTTGTACTTTTTGGTGTAAGTGAGAAAATTCCCAGCAGCAGCTGAGTAAGAGTGGGCATAACAATGCAGTGCAATTGGAAAGACAAAGCAGAAGACACTAGTGACTCATGGGCCTCTCCTCCTTTATACAAAGAGACAACATAATGCCAGATAACAAAATCTGCCCTCAGACCATCTGTGCTCGCCTGTTTTGATGCATTTCCCAGGCAAAATGAGCAGACCTGTCTCCTCATCCGTGTTGCTCAGCTTTAGCTTTCCAGAGCCAGCTAGTGTTATTCAGCATCACCACTGTGTTATGTGACACGATTATCAGCTCTGCTGGCTGCTCCAGCTCTACAGCAATCAGCACAAAGCAGCTTTCATAATGTCCTCAGCCCACCAGCCTCAAGACAAGTTGAAGTGCATATAAAAAGCAGACTTACCTGGCTTGCTTCCTTCACAGTCATGCCCCAGCTGACCTTTGGTGTTCAAGCCACAGGTATACACCTCCCCATCTTCCAACAGGAACACAGAGTGGTTTCCTCCACATGCCACCTCCTTGACATTTCTATCGTGGATGAACCCATACACCTGTGGTTCAGGAATGATGACCTGGAGGTTGCTACCTATCCCAGGCTGTCCATAAGACGAGTAGCCCCAGCATAGCATTTTCTCTCTTTTCAGCAAGTCATGTATCCTTCCTGGGCAAGAGAGACAGGAAAATGAGTGTGAATGAAGCAAGTACACCACAAATGATCCTACAGAGACCCAGCTGTTCACAGCAGGAGGTGGAAGCAACCAGAAAAGGCATTTCCTGCATGACTGTCAGGTTTGTGAACTGTCAGTAAACCATTACACAAACAAAGAGTAATCAAGACAGCTCAGCTGTGGTACTGAATCAGCACCTTCATGCCTTGGCCGTCTCCATCTGCGAGGCAGCAGAAACATTTTGAAACCCAGGAGACCAAGCTCTTACACTGCAAAATTACTCTGCTTCAAAAACCAAACATCAAACAATGCCCCAAACCAACTGTAATGCTATTCAGACTAACAGGTCCAAATCTGAACTGTTACAGTGTCATATCTGAGGCTACTTCTATGTAAATCTTTAAAAATTACCTGCAAGGTGGTTAGATTAGCCCTGAACAGAATGACACGGGTATTTGTGGTGTGCTGACCAATGCAGAAATGTGTTATTTCTGATAAAAACAGACTGAAGAGTACTTTGCTCAATTGAACAGTCTTGCAACCCAAATTTGTGCATGCACACACACACACTGAACTTGAGCCACACACACACCCCTGAACTGCAGCAAGAATTACACAAGAAGCAGCAGCTCACGTGAAGCAGCACATTGACAGCTTGGCCCTGGCAGCAATGGACAGGTCACGTTGCTGCAACTTGCCAACAGTCAGGAGTTATCTTCTGTGCAGTGCTCAGTGAAAGTCAGGGATTTCAGAGTGGAGTAACACAGGAAGGGAAAAAATATAGCAGTATAAAAAGTCCAAGGAATTACTTGGCTTGAACTTGATACAGACAACAAGATGTTAATGCATAAAAGCAGGAGGAAGAAAACAGTATTCCACAAGAAGTGTGAAAGATTTTAGTGCTATCCTTCGCCACTCCTAATCTCAATAGGCTTAGGTTATTTTTTAAGCATTGGTTAAAAAGGTTATTTAATAAGACATTGAGGACTCCTCTGATTGAACTAGAAACTAGCTAAACCTTTTCTTTTTTTTTGCAAAGGGAAGGAGAAAGGTTAGAAAATGTAAGCTCTGAGACATCAAGTCTTAGGACACACCATGCCAAGTTTTAGCTAAGGCAATTTGCAGCAGCAGCAGCATTTACTAACACAGCGCAAGATAGAAAAGCAAAGGGTAACCCCTGAAGTGCCAAAGATGCCTTCTCCCACTCTGAGCAGACAGGAAACACATGCATTTGGTTTGTTTCCAAAGCCTGGTGCTAATTCAAGCTCCAGGTATTAGCAATAAAGCCTTTCCTAATCTAAACCCTAAGACACGGGTGTTCATCTCTCAGCCTTTGCCTGTCAGCTGTGGTCACTTCCACAGAGGCACGACCGAGCTGGAAGGGGAAGGGAGAGGATTGGATTTTCCAGTTAGTACTTTATCAGTGGTGCAGTTTCCTACCACAACCTGTTTACTAGGATCTCTTATTAGGTGCTTTAAAGTAATGCAGGACCCCGTTTATCTCCAGCAGCCCTTCTTCCTTCACAGCATAATTCAACTCATTCACACCCACATGCGCTTATCACTGGCCAGCTCCAAAGCACACAGAGGAAAAAGCAGGAGCCTTTAACAAGGCTCTGGCTGGTTAAAAAAGCAGGAGCATACAAGGTTCTGCCTGGTTAAATCAGTCATGGTGTATACTCTGTGTTTGGTTGCCCTAAGCACAAAAGCCTGATGGAAGACACCCTCTATGCTGGCTACGCTAAGAATAGGAATGCCGTGGGACACGAGAAAATTGAAGCGTGTGCATGTGCTTTAAATGTGCTTTAAACAGCTACATTTAGAGCGAACTTCATGTTCTATCACACCGCCAAAAAAACCCAAACTAAAAATGCATGAGCAACACCCTGAAGGTGGCAGGGAATCGTTTCAAAACTGGCACTGGAACGGCAGAAATCTGGGACTACCATTTCTATCAGCCTGGGGAACTGTGTGTTACAAAGACACAAGCAGCACTCCTGAAGGTTCAAGGATCACGTTCCCTGCTAGGATAAATAGATACTGCCTCTAAGGTGAAAAGATTTCACCAGTATACCACTTGAACTACAATGACATTGTACCACATGAGCTAAATATTAATTTGGGATACTTTCTAAAAGGGCACCTCAACAGTCTGTTCCCCATAGACTGCAGTCATCTTCCCTAGTGCTAGCTTCTTTTAAAAATGCTAAAAATACATTAATTACTTTCCTTGCGTTCATTCCACACAAGAATTTGCTGCTAATGGGCAAGGGAGTATGATGTGGTTGGTAAGAGATGGGTTTTTCCTCCAGCTAAGACACTACTACTGAAACAGGAGGAATTCAAACTCCCAGTAATCCACATAAACACTAAGGTGATATTTCAGAGTTCAACCCTCCATTCATGCTACAGGCCTGATTTTCTGAAGCTCCTCATATTTCACTATCCCTATACCTGACACAGAAAAAATCAGGTTTTCACTAGTTTTGTCTAAAATCATCTCCATGGACTATGCCATCTCCGTCCACCCCCATCTTCCAACATTTTGCCAATAAATCTCTGTGCAGCTCAGTTTCACAGAAAGAGACCACCACTTTCCAGGGGAGAGCAGAGCAAAAAACACAGCCACTCACAATCTGAGCATACAGGCACAGCTAAATATTTCAAATGGCCTGGTGAATTTACTTATACTGAAGACATTTTTAAAACCACAAGTTAAGACTGTTTTTTTCTTAAAAAAAAAAAAACACACAAAAAAAAAAAACCTGGAGGTCTTAATACATTGTATGTTCAAGTAGGAGCTGTGTCCTGAAACACATGGAGACTTTAAATAACAATTTCACACTGTTTCCAATCCAGTTAAGGCAGTTACTCTTCTCTGACAGCAGCAAGAGGAAGTAGAAGTGCATGTGCCACTGCAAGCTACCTCTACAAACTGCATACCTTCCTCATACTAAAACAATGACATAAGAAGTTCCTAGTGTAGGCAAGCACTAACAGACACGTGCCTGCACATGCACATGTAGACATTAAATATATGATTTATACTCACTTATCCAAAATTTTATGTGATTAATATTCCTAGTGCCCAGCTCAATACACCTTAAAAAAGCTGAAATTTTATCTTCAGAGAGCAAACCCTTAGGAACAGAGGTTTTCTTAAATGCATCAGTTAGGGATTAAAGTTCAGAGTTCCTTTTAAAACTGGATTGCAAAAAGCACAAGAAATGCAGTACCCAACCATACAACCTATTCCTGTTCTTCAGAAATCCCAACACAGCCAGCTTGGTATTCATGTTTCAGAGATAGGAACAGATGCAATGCAGTAAAGTCAGGCATTTGCAGAGATTCCCCAGATATAAAAAAGAGAGGGGAAGATACAACACCACATCCTCAGACCCTGACATTCCAGGAATAATTCATCATCAAAACAGCGAAGGACATACATAGCACAGCCAGAGCTAGGAAAACCTCACACTGTGAGGAATATTTTGAGGAAATCTATTGTGGGTGGAAGACTCACCCTCTGCTATAATAAGGTTCTGCTGACATACTAAGTATATATCCTTTGGTGAAAAAAACAGCCCCCGTGGTTTGGTAAAATAATAATGCTGCATGTATAATCATGAGAGGATGTATTTTGTCTTTTTCCTTTTTCTTTTCCTCTCTCTTTTTAAAAGCTCTCATGTCATGCAGAGTCTCTCCTCAAAATCACACAGACATATTCTAAAGCCATTTCCACTCTGCGCCCTTTCTGAGAAAGTCACCTAAGTCAATATCACGATCGCGACAAACAACACTCAAGGCTCGATGCTCTCTAAACAAAGAGATCTGCCAACTGGCAGGGCACGAATAAACAAGTTTTTCCTTCCCTCTTGTTTGTGAGATTTCAGATAACGAGTGTGTTTCTTCTACCAGCATTGCTCCACAATGACGGAATTTACTGCCTCTTTCTGCCACCAAGCCTCCAAGCCCACTTTCTTCTTCTTTTTGCCTCCGTTTCAGTCCAACTCAATGTCCAATGCAAAGCAGGTTACAGAGCAAGAGAATACAAGGTGTACCAGCAAATGAGTTAAAGCACGAGCAGAGTATTTCCACTGCACAGACGCATGCCCTCAGATGGAGATACCCCCACAGAAAACACATAAAAATAGATACCTAAAATCAAATATAACAACCCCCCCGACATCACCTCCATTTTGCAATCCTAGTAAAAACACTACCTTCACCCCGGACACCCCGGGCTTCCTGCGGCTGTTTCCCAGGCCCCGACCGGCGCTTCCCGGCGGGCTCACACCGAGCCCGGAGCGGCAGCGGCGCCGTGCCCAGCCCGCAGCCGGGCGATGCTGCCGCACCAGCGCCGGCGCCCAGCGGCTCCTGCCGCAGCTCCGCGCCCGCCCGGGGCTGGGGAGCGCGTCCTGCGACGGGGGCTCCGCCACGCCCGAGCCCCGGCTCCCCCAAGGACGGCCTCAGCACCAGGAGCAGCAGCCGCACCGCGGGACCGAGCCGCCCCCCCGCCGCTGCCGCCGCGGCGACGAGGAAGTGCCGGCCCCGCCGCCGCCGCCGGGAGTGACGCGCGGCGCGGCCAATGCGCAGGGCGGGCCCGGCCCCGGCGGGCGCGGGGAGGGCCGGGAATCTCCTTTCCCCGGAGTGCCCCGCGATCCTGGCGGGGCTCCGGGCTCCTGGTAGTGGCCTGCCCTGCCCTCCGCTGCTGGAATGCCGGGGCGCGGGCGGAGCGCTGGGGACAGGCCCCCCCGCCCGCCTTGCGGATCGCAGCCGCTCTAAACACAGCAGAAACCCGCGGGCGAAGTTAAGCGCATTCCAGAATTTAAGCTGGTCTAAATGAAGGTCTCAAGGGAAAGGCAGCTTTCCAGTGTTTGGAAATGCGTTGAGCGCGAAATGTCACTTGCTAATAACAGCAGTCAGTTTCTTTCACCCATGCCGGTTTCTTCTTCCTTTTATGTGGCCTCTGGTCACCTGGCAGGCTCATTTGTTTAGGAGCTCAAATTTTATAGAAAGTTTCAACCTCAAAAAAGGTTTGTTGTCAAAATCTTTGTTGAGCGAGAGGGGGAAGGAAAAAAAGAAAAAAAAAAAAAAGAGGCCAATGAGCAAGCAATTATGTAACTTCCAAGTACTGATTTTCTGGTTTTAGTGCCATCTATTCGAAAAAAACTGTGCTCCACAAGAACAGTGCACAAGCTGGATGCCATTCAGACCACCAAACTGAGAGTCAATGTTTGGAGCAAATCTCAGACAGATGTTTGCAGAGGTTCAGCATGGGGGCAAGAATCCCTAAGGTGTGTCCAGTGCCCGTAAGTATTCGTGGCCCTTGAGCTGCATCTCTGGCAGTTTGCAGAGTTTGTGCAGTTAGCAGAAAATATGTCATGGATCAGGTGAAAAACCACCTGTATTTGCATGAGTCATGTGTGTTTAGAATAAATAGCTACTCCAATATAAAATTACACCTGTCATGTAACTTCTTTGGCTTAAACAGTGTTACAAGCAGCTTCTAGAATAACTGAAAGCATACATAGAGGAAAACATACTTTTCTGTGTTTGTTTCTGTTTTGTTTATTTCATCGTCTGGAGACCTTTGCAAAATAGATAATTTCCCTTTACACTCAGTTTCCTCTGTTTCTGATTGCGTAGTCAAGGAGGGGAAGGTACACACACAAACAAACAAAAAAAAATAAAGAAGAAGAAGAAAATGATGGAGCAAATACTGGAATTTGTGTGAGGGAGCCAGGAGTCTCTTGTTGAAACCAGTTTTTAACTGGTTACATTTCAGCTTCCCAGAGAACTTTCAAGGCTGCTCTTGGACTTATCTACAGGTGATGCTCAGCTCAGATGAGTGCCCTAAAAAAAAAATGCTGCTGCAGGTTCAATGTACTTTTGCTGCCTGTGTGAAGCCTTTTGAACTCACAGCTGAATGTGATGCTCACTCATCTTACATTCTCCTGCATATTTTATAACAGGCACTGCTTGAGAAAATGTGGGCACAACCCAGTGTCCAAATTAATTTCAGAAAATCAGAGAGGAGTGCGCTACTATGAAAGTCTTTATGTAATGTGTATATATATACACACACATATATATATATATATAAAAGCAGAGATTATTTGAGGACAACTTAAAAATAGCCTTGAAAGTGACTCTGGGCTTTAATCTCCCATGTGATGTTGCATCATACATGATGAGAAGGAAATACCTCCAGGCTCTAAATAAACCTATTATCATTTAATCTCTAATGGGTTATTTTGAATTCCAAAGAGAATACATCTTTTGTGCACTTGCACAGCACAGAAGATCACTCTGGATTTCCAAGTCCTACCAGAGGCTTAGATAACCATAAAAAGGGAAACAACAGCCAGGAGCAGGCTGATGAAGAACAGCAAGCTAAGCTGCCAAAACAGAAATCTGTGGTGGCGTGGCAGCATCAGCTGGACGTAAGATGTGGGCAACACCTTGGGTTTCTGCCAGTTCCCTCTTTCCACAAAAATACACCAGAGTGCTGCCTTTCTCAGAGGACGTAAGCATCCTGTGATGTCCTTTTTGTTCCAGGGGAGTGAGGGGGACAGGGGTTAGGTCTGAGTAGGCCATGTCCCTCACTCCCCTCTGCTGGGACCTGCCATCCTCTGAAGTCCAATTTCCCCTCTTCCCATCAGCACTCCCATGCCATCTGCTTTCCTGTACTGCCCTGGTGCTTGTGGTGAGTGCTTCAATTTTATTTTATTTTTTTAGTAATTACTATACTGTTTACTTAAAAGGAAACTTGCTTTTTTTTTTTTTCCAAGTAGGTAACAATGTGATTCTGCATCACACAGGAAAGACTGACTTGTTCAGCACATACAGTGCATGTCTTTGAAACACGCTTACATCAGCCTTTGACTCCAGTTGTGAAAGGCCCCCCCATTCCAAGGAGGACAGAGAACACAGACACACTGCCTGCTATGCTCATCTATGCAGGCAGATGCATAAGGAAGGAAGAACACAGCTACAGGGGTGAAAATTTAATCCATCATCATTTAATTTAAGACAGTGGAAGTCTTCTTTACATATGGATGTTCCCTGACACATTTAATGCACCAAACAGAAGACTATTGAAAAATAATGGCTGTTGTTTCTCTCCCTCTCTAAACATAGCAAAATACACAGCAAACACACAGCCTACCTGACATGGTTAATATCCTGCCAGTGCTCTGCACTGTTTTGACAATGAGATTCCTGAAGCCCTGCCAGCCTCATGTACACAGGGCTCTGTAGACAGTGCTGTTCTGCAAGCCTAAGATTTTATGATTTAATTGCGAAACATCTCCTTAGAAGATATACAGAAACATGACAAATATCACAACTATCACACTAAATAACAAAAAATTGTATTATTGTCATTCATTAATACAGCTTTTGAAAAAGTCTAGGAATGATCAAATCCTCCTATGAATTTCTCTCAGATAAATCACTGACCATATTCAGGTGAGCACAGACTGCTCCTTCATTTCACAATGTCATTAAATGTGTTAGTTGCTCCCAAGAGAACCCTTAAGTAACACAGATGAAAACCTTACCCCAGCTTTGCTTTGCAAGGGTGACTGCTTAGCACATCCTGGTGGTTGCTAACGCATAAATGTACAAATCACAGAATCCCTGCTGCTGGGAGCTCACTGTCCTAACACAACCAGAACACTGCAGACCCTGCTTGCACGTATATGTAAATATGCTTGGCTATCAGCTTGCTTCTCTGAAGTGTGCCAAACAGGATTAATCTTGCCTAACTTTACAATCTTAACTATGAAATATCTGGTCGAAGCTCAATTTTATAAGCAATGTAAAATCTCAGCAAATACACACACTCAGGTGTTTATAAAGTGCAGTAGAAATAAGGCAGGGTAGAAATCAGTAAATTGGAGTTAATAAGAGAAAAGATGGCAAGTGAACAAAGACTCATATTCTTCTTTTTGCTTTTAAGTGCTTCTATCCCAGAGTCATTCACGGCCAAAACCTTCATTATGCTCTATGGCATAAAGCAACTTCTTTTTGAGTATTTTTTTACTGCTATATCTGGGGAGGAACAAAACCAGGTGGCAAGTATTGACAGAAGGAGAGCTCTCATCTGGATTTTCTGCTTGAGGATCTGCAATGCGAAATCTAAAAGGTTCCAGTCTATAGCCAGAGCTGCGATCGGATCCTGACAAAAAAACTGAAGGAATGAAAAAAAGAAAAACAAGAGTAAGTTAGCAAATTGAAAAATAAGTAAAATAATGTTAGCTGAAAATCATTAAAATAATTAATGTTAATGAAAATGTTAATCTTAATGAAATGAAGAGAAATTAGTGTAAACAAACATGTATTTTCCTAAGCTAATCTGTTGAATTTGCACCTGAATATAAATTAAAGCCTCTTACCAATTCACAGTAGTTACAAGCCCTCTTCTGCTTCATATTGTAGACTGTGTGGATGAGAAAGGCCAGGCTAGGTCTGACCTTCTGCCTTTAAAAAGGATGACCTAGCTTCTGCAACCCTTTGAAAAAGGTATACTGCTTACATCAGCACAGTGTACTCTCACAAACTGCAGCCTCTGACCAACAACCTCAAAAGTAATGGATAAAGTAACTGCAAGCTTCAGGGTGCACTCAGGCAAGGCTCAGGGGATGTGACGGGGTCAGAGCTGTCCCTTTGCAACTCCTTGTGTTATTTTTTTGTGGTTTTCCCTAGAAAATGTGGCAGCAGCAGCAGCAGGGGTGAACATGTTGAAAAGCTACAGTTTGGAACTATAGTACAGTATAGTATATAGTATGTGTGTTGTGGGGGAAAGAAGGGCTATGCAAAGTTTTAAATGCCTGATAAATTACCAAGAAACAGTTTCTTTTTTTCTTCTGATAGCTTGTGAAACACAGTCCAAAAATTCCTGATGGTTTGATCTGACTTCTCATACTTTATGTATATCACATTCTGTTAAAGAGACAAAAATAAAACAGGTCAGTTAATCCTCAATATTTCCATTTATATTTAAAGCAGCATTTTATCTGATAAATTTTATAATCCTGTTCATAGATATTCAAATCCCCTTAACCTCTGGAATCTGCTTGTTCATTTGTTTTTCAAAGATTCATATGACAATCCCTGAGTTATGGCTTGATACCTATTCCCTTTATTCTTATGGCTAACGTAGATTAGAGACAAAGTATCGACACAAATCAAAAAAAGAGAAAGTTCTTGGAGCTTCTGTCCATCTGTTATGCACCCAGTGAAAGAACAGGTCAGAAGTAGTTTATGCTTAGCAGACAGAACAGAAGGACACTGTGCTTGTATACAATACCTTTTCCAGCAGATGCCAGTCAAACGTTGTGCGTCCTTGGAGAAGATCCTGCAGCTCTTCAGGGAAAAACATCTTCCAATTTCTAGCTGGGCAGCCTCTTAAGAACCCTTGCATAAAGTCCTCAAATGGTTTCTGTACTGATTTATTGAACGTATAATTCACGTACAAATCAACATATTCTTTCCTGCAACAGATACCAAATGAGCATTAGTGGTGCTTTTCTAAAAGGAGAATTACAGAGAACTTTATTCCTTTGTTCCTGCTGTGGGGTACAGACTCTGTCTTCACTGAGACCACTTGTCACTGGCAATTAGTTATTCACTGAATAAGCTGGGAGCATCTTCACAAATAAAAGAGAATGCTGGCCAGAATGGATTAATTTTGGTAACACTCCTTGTACCTCATGTGAATGCTCCAATGAAATCCTGCCAGACACCTGATTATTATAAAAGATGGAACCTAGCACACCTAACTCCCATTGAATGCCCAAGAATTTCCCTGAAATAGAAACAGTATTTGCACAGCTGCTAATCAATAGTTTCACTCTCCTCTCTACTCCAGATGGGGATTTGTGTAATCACATTGTACTGTACAATCAACTCAATGTAAATGTTCTACTTCAAGCTTCTTAAACAGCCCTTTCATGGATCCCTATGGATCCTCAGGTCATCTGCATAATTCAGGACACAAAATTTCTCTCTGTCCTCTGAGCAGAGATTAATATTGACACAAAGCCTTATTGACAGATTGCTCCTTCTCCTTTATGTACAAGATACATTCCATATACATAACTAAGCAGGAAACATTTTGCTTTTAAAAAACCCTTACAGAGGTGTACCTATAGTTGGGTTTCCCAGAAAAATCACCTGGTTTTGCCTGAAAATACTGTCCAAAGTTATATTTTACATTTGTTAGGAATTTTCCTGTTAATGCAAAGTATCTGTATATGCAGACACCAGGATATCCAAGGATACCCATGTTATCCACTGCCTGCACAAACTGCTAGTGTTTTGCACATGTGCAGCCAGTACAGCAGAACTGAAAGTGTGCAACCTGTTGGACCAAGACCAATGGCACAACACAGAACTCAATATTTTCTAGCAGTATATGGGGATGGGTACAGACATGTTATTTCATATATTTGAAACAAGACAAGAGGATTAAGAAATATAAAAATAAAACTGACCTGTTATCCTTAGTGACGGGAATGTTAGCACCATTTTCTTTAAGTTCAACAACATCCGTGGAATCTTCTTCCATTTTCTATGCAAATAAATGAAAACATTGGCTGCTATATCTATATGTGTCAGATATATGCTTGCCCAAGTACCTTTGTGGGATGTCTTACCGTGAAGTTCAAGTCCAAGCTATCATCACTTTCTTCATTCAAAATTATCCGAAAACTCCTGTCCAAACACAAAAGGTATTGAAGAGAGAAGAAATGTGACCATTCAGTGCACTTGCAAATTCTTCTAAAAAACACCCTTTGACAAGCAGTATTTAAATGCATACATGCACACAACACCTACACTCACACAGAAACATGATATATGGCCCTGAAATTTCATCATGCTGTGACATAAGCTGAGCACAAATGCCTCCAGTAAAAAAAGTTTCCAGGCAAGTCCATCCCCATGCTGTGTGGACAACTTTACACCAAGTTCAGTGACAAATGGGTTGGGGCCACAGTATTGCTTCCAGACATTATCTAGTGAGGAATTAAGTGTGGAATAGAGGGATGATCTGGGAGAATTGTTTTGGGGTGCAGCACCTTTCCAAGTACTGCAGGCAACCTTGTGCTCCAATTCACTGAGGAACCTCAGTGAATTTAGCACCGCAGGAATTTGGCACCTCAACACAGTCACTGGCTCATGGGATGGGGTTCTCATCTTGGTTGTTTATATCACTTCAGGGGCCTAAAAACATTATTTTGGTGGCAGCAGCACCTCTCCCTCTTATATCTGCCTGATATCTCCTCTTCCAGTGCATGGAAGCTCTGCACAAGGGTTCTCAGAATTGGCAGCATTTTGTAATACTGTACTTGTGCAAGGCAATATTGTGGAAATTGATAATTAGAAATTAGAAAAAAACCCCAATTAATAATTGAGTCATTAGTTCTTTCAAGTCAAAACTACAGCCCAAAGTGTTTTGAACACTTATATATTCACAGTGTGGACTTAAGCTGTGGTGGGGCAGAGATCTGATACCCTCTAAGTCATGAGGCTTGGCATTTTGTTTTGGCAATGCTAGCCTCTGAGAGCAACATCCATGCCCTGGACAAGGACGTCCTTGGATATATGTGCCTTCTAGCAGCTTCACAAAGGCAAATGCAGATGCCATGGATGCCCCAAATTCAGCCTCTGGGATCTCCCAGTGCATGGTGAAGGCAAGGGACCCAGCTGAAGCTTGGGCTATGCCTGGCTCATACTGGCCCACGGTTGGCAGCAGATCCTCAAGGTCCTCTAGGGTGGGGGCCACGTCCAGTAGCTTTTTGTAGAGAGCCCTGGGGAAGGGGAAAGGCACCGTGCACTGGTTAAACAGGGCCATTCCACACAGTGTCCCGATCAAGAGGAAGATGTCCTCATCCTCACAGCTTGGGACCTGGTTAGGAACAAGCACACCTGGTTAGGAACAAGCCATGAGTGCCTTTTCCCATGCGTGGGGCCCCCACCCACCCCCGCAGGGCTGCCTTACCTGTCTGGGGAACCACACGAGGCCGGAGCGGAAGTGGCAGAAGATGCTGGTGCTGGGCTGGCAGAGGGTCCTGGCCGCAATGCTGAAGAGCTCCTGGGACACTGCACCTTCGTCCACCCCCAGCTCACCCACAAAAGACACCTGCAAGGCCAGAGACAGCTGTAGACAGAGACACCCATATTGCTCACAAAATCAGATTCCTTACCTGGGGTGCAACAAGCCAATAATTACACACGAGAGAGAGAGATGCTGATTATTTATCTCACGGTTGTGCCAACCTGGGTACTCGGTGGCAATCCACAAATCAAACCCCACCAGACTTTTTGAGCCATTATTTGTACACAGAAATTCAGAGTTAGTAACTGTCCGAGGCTGTTATGCTTGGTTAGTAATTTCCAAACAAGTTACACAAACCCAGCTGACTTCCACACACCCTCAGGGGAAGGGTCTTCACCTGGGCAGGGGTCCCTTTTGCCCTGTGGGCATGATTTTAACTATTATAATCAACACAGTTCAGCTACAGCCTACGTGGACCTTGAGTATTTTGCCAAGTTAGCAATGTATACACAGACATACATCAACATCTTGATTTAGGCATTTAGGCTTTTCATTCATCCTTTAGGCTTTTCATTCCCGCATGTCCTTGGCTAGGGAAGGACACTGCCTGTTCCACTGACTAGGTCTCCTTTCTTCCTGATTAAGCTTGAAAGCGTGCAAAGATCTTACACCGAAAACCATCCTGACGTAACCTCGATCTGTTTCACATCGCGGAGCAGGCACGGCGCCCGCTGAGGCGGAGCGGGGCGGGCGGCGGGGCGGGCCGCGGGCGGCGGAAGCGGCGGCCGGCCCCGGGCGGCCCCGGGCGCGGCCGGCACTGCCACCGGGCTCTGCACTCGGAGCGGGAGCAGGGCTCGGGTTCGAGCTCGGGCTCCGGCTCAGACTCGGGCTCCGGCTCGGCACGGCCGCAGCCCCTGGAGCCATCATTGCTGCGCTTCCTGGTGTGCCCGCTCTCCAAGCGGCCGCTGAGGTGAGGATGGGGCGGGGGAGCCGCGCCCCAGCCCCGGCAAACCCAGGTTAGTCCCTGCTCCTCATGTTTTCGCTTGGCTGTTTCTCCTCCCCCCACCCCACCCCGATTTGGCTGACCAGGTACGAAGAAGCTACGAACGAGCTCATTAACGAGGAGCTGGGCATCGCGTACCCCATCATCGACGGCATCCCCAACATGGTTCCCGAGGCTGCCAGGAGGACGCACAAGAAGCCGCCGCCGGCCGAGGGCTCGGAGCAGCCGTGAGGAGCCGCCGGGCACGGCGGTAACGGGGCCGGATGGCCGGAGCGGGGCTGCTGCCCTCCCTGCCCACGCTGACCGTGCTCGTCCCGCTCCTGTCCCTGGCAGGGCTCTTCTACTCGGCCAGCGTAGACGAAAACTTCCCCCAGGGCTGCACCAGCACAGCCAGCCTGTGTTTCTACAGCCTCCTCCTTCCTGTTACAGTACCGGTTTATGTGTTCTTTCACCTCTGGACCTGGATGGGGATTAAGCTTTTTAGGCATAACTAGTGCAATGCCTTTGCTAACCCCTGGGCTTCTCTAAATCAACATAATTTGTTTGATCTTGTCAAGTATTGCAGTTCGTTTGAGAGAGTTTCCTTCTGGCACTAGTGACTGGCATCGTTTTCCTGGTAGGATCTAGAACTGTACGAAGCAGCAGCCCACTGTTAACTACTGCTAATGCAGATGAAGAGTAGGAGCACTAATTAGAAGCACTAATTCCCTCTGTTTTATCCTTTCAAGAGTGCTGTGCATTTGTTGTGACACTAATTAGAACCTTAGTTTTCATGAGGAAGAACTGTACTCTGACCGAATAAACAAAATTAAAATTAAAACATGCAGTGATTTGAATCTCTCTTTGAGAGCTTTGGGGGTTTTTAACTAGATGTGTGTACTGAAATATGTTTGTCTTACTGTCAGAAAAGCAAAAATTAAAATAAATCAGGCTGGTGTTTAATAACAAGACTTGAGATCAGTTAAATTAAGACATTTCTTTCTTGGATGATACCCATGTCTGTATGTGCAGTACCTGCAGATCTTTTCTTTTTGGCCATGATGAGAGTGCCACAGGCCAAGTTCTCACTATTGTCTTAAAAACTTTTTAACAGGACACAGCTATGAAGGGGGCAGGTCAATGCTACAGTGAAGGTTTCTTTTTTATGTTTTGCTTTTGGGTAGTTTGTATTCACAACACGGAACACATTTGTGTCCTTTACCTGCTGAAAAATGCAGAAATGAAGCACCAAGTTGTAAATGCTGCACCAGGCTGTAAGTGCTGTGGATACTAACAGTGCAGTTATATTTTTCAGGCTGCTGCTGGGTAATATTGTGCATCACATAATATTGTGATGCACAATGTGAAAGGCAAGAGGTGTGCCCAAAGGCTGACTTGAGCTAAGGGCAGCTGTTTGTCAGGGCATGTACAATAGGTGGAGACTTGAAATCTAGAGAACAGTACAGAGCACACCCTCACTGCCTCTGTAAATAAATGCCTCTCTCAAATAGTGAGGTGCAGTGAGGAACCAGGAAGGAAAGCTAGCTCTGGGAGCCATTGTGAATCTTCTCCTAAGTAAATGGGAAAGAAAAGCTTTGACAGCTCTGTTTGGCAAGAAAGCTCACTTGGAAAGCACCAGGGCACCCAAATTCCTGTGGCACAGGTGTGGTGCCAGACTTTGTGTTAGTGACAGGTGGGGCACATGGTCCCTGAGCTGAACTCTGCTCTGGGCAGGTTCTGCTCCCATGTCAGGCAGCTGATGGTTTCTGCAGGGCAGGGCCAGTATCACCATTCCTGCAGGAAATGCAACTGCCACAACCTTTGGATCTGTGTGGAAGCTACAGATTAAAGGCACGTGGAGACAGCAGCATTGTAATCAGATGCTCATCTCCCTGGCAGCACTTTCTTTCCCTTTGACAGCATCACCATGAGAGAAATGTAATTTCGTGGCTGTGTTGCTTGCTGACCCCTCCGGCTGGTTCCCCAGACATTAAAACCCCCAGTAGGAAGTCTCAAACGTCAGTCTAGCAGCAACAGGACTGGACTTTGACAACTGAGCAATTCCATTACCCCAAAGCACCCTCACAGTGAATAGCGCTGCCACTTGCACCTAACTTATGCCAACAAAGCTACCTGGAATAAGGATGTAAAATACTGCCTCCAGATTTACTCTACACCATCTATGGAACATGTTTTATAATAATTTGAGGAGCAGTTCTTTCGCTGTATGCTCAGAAGATACTGAAACCCTTGTACCAATATGCTGTAACACTGAAAATCAAGGAACACTTTAGCAAGATACTCAGAGCTAACAAGTAATACAATTTAGTGTCTTACCTTTAACATCTTCCTGAAATCATGGTTTGAGGCAGATTTTAAATTTTTCCATATGTCTTGGAGAAGGCATTGTCTTCTGACGCAAAAATTCCATGCCTCATGGGTCCATAAAAAGGGTATCTGGATAAGGGGCATCCAAGGATTGAAGCAACAGTCTGTTAGCATTGTGGTTATCTCTTCTGATTGGTAACAAAATTGGTTGCACTTACAGTAAAGACTCTGGCCAGAGCCTCGCATTCTGTAGTATGAAGGCTTATCTTGTTTTCCCTGTCAAAGATGCATGGGTACTTGCTCAGCTGCTGTAGGACTGTCTGAAAGGAAAGGAAGAAAGGAAAAGACGCTGATTTTCCCTTGTGAAACCAGAGTTCAGGGACATGTCTGCAGACTGAACTGCCAGTCTGTACCCTGGCAAACTTCTGTGTCTCTGAAACGAGCCCTTGTGTGCATGAGCACTGCACTAACAGAGGTTCACATCCTACAAACAGCTCCTACATACTCCTGTGAGTGAGAAGCAGAGAGAGGTATCTAACTTCTCTGTGCAGACAGACACTTGTCTACAGTAGTGTCTCTAGAATAAAACAGAGAGAGTGATTTTAACAGCATCTTCCATAATTTAAACCAAAATGTTCTGGATACTCAGGTTATGGTACATTGTTTTTAAAAACTGCTGGGTTTATTATATGTAATACCAAAAATAGATACTGGTCTAAAAATAATCTAATTTAAAGTGTTACACCTCCAGTGTGATAAGGCACCAACTTCACGTAACATCCTAACTGGCTTTTGGTTATAATCTGTTGCTCAAACTTCCTCCTCCACCCTGGTTAATTGGTACAAAATTGGTACATTACCAAACAAAAGTTTATGAAGGAATTATGCAGTTGCCCTACAAATTCCAGCAAAGTTGCATGAAAGTTGTTTTTTTTTTTGCCAAAGGAAACCCCTACTATGCACATTTCCATTTCATACTGCTTCCTCTGACACTGACTGCATTTGGTAGCTAATTCTCACTCTGTGTCAAGAAATGCCACAGATTATTTTTTATTATCACAGCTTTGTTTTAAGATGTAAGTACATTGAAATGCTGAAGAGGATTTCTAAATAAAAGTTTAAAGACACCTCAAAAGATTTCTCTTAATTAAACATAATTTACTTAATTAAACATAATAAAATCCAGAGTAACACAAAGTATAGCAACCATCCCTTGTGCTTCTATTTCACAGTGATTACTAGTGCAAAGCAAATAGAGCTGCTTAAGATGCTGGAGGGCAGCTCCAACTCTCAGAACCAGGGACCATCTCAGGAAAAGCTCTATTGTAGCTGCTGGAACACTGGGATGGTAAAGGGCTTGTATAATTTAAAGATTTGGAGAACTAGGGAAAATGAAATGCCTTTGAGATGTGCTGGGTTAGTCTCTAGAGTTGACTTATATATATATATATAAACTATTTAAATAAAAGAAAAAAGAGTGTTTTGCACTACTGGTAAGATTTATACTTACTACTATATTGAAGAATGAACATATGTTGATAATCTCTCTCACCGCATGTACATGGAAGATGCTTTCATGTACTCCAAAACCAGTTCTGGAGTTCACCTGCATTGAAACACGCAATATATCAGCAGCAGAACTAGTGAGCTGTGTCTGTCTGGCAGGACAGGACTGACAGGGCTTTCTTCAGAAAGGGTTCTGAGACCCTGCACAGAAGTTACAGGATAAAAGTGCTCAAGAAGCACAGTGCTCCACAGTGAGAAGTCTTAGAAAGCCTTGTATAAACTAGCAGGAAAGCAATTTTCATCTACAATTAAGATCCCTTAGCAGGACTCCATCAGAAAAAGTGTATTTCCCTTGGAGTGTCTTTCATGTTTCTGCAGTTCTCTATTCATGTTCCTGGACAAGATGCTTGCAGGGGGACAGTGAACATTTAAAGCTCCAAATCATATAATCACTTACAGAGGAGGGCCTGCTGCATTTTTTAGTTTATTTATCTGCATAAATACAAATTTGAGAGTCTAAACTTTGAGGCCCAATTATGCATTCACAGCCAAAAGGATATTCAAGCCTGAACAAAATTTAACAAGTCTCTCTGATTTATACTGTGTGCTTGAGCTCTTAACTTCCGTATACTCTGAACATCTCCACAGGAATGTGGAGAGAAAGTATGGTTGTCCAGAAGAACACAGTTATTGCTTCCTTTGTTTCCCTTGTTCATGTACAGCTAAATATGTTCTAATGCTGTTGCCCCAGAGAATCTGTCAGGTTAATGGACTCTTAAAGCATCACAGAGCATTTCTGTGGCAGCCACAATGTGCCAAGCAGGTAGGTTGTCTTTCAAATGCTCTGAGCAGTTACTGGGGCGAGGGATCTGGCCAGCAGAAAGGGGAATGGACATGTTACGTAGAGGACACCACATCCATAACTGTGTAGGCATCAGTGGATGCACTCCTGACACCACTGAAAGCATTCTTCCCCCTGCCAGGGCTATAACATGCTTTAGCTCTTCATTTCTGCAGAGGGTCAGTTTGGCACAACTCGAGCAGGACTTCTTCAAAACTGTGCTGGTGTAGAGCCAAAGAGATTCCTGAAGCAGTGTCAAACCCAGAGAATTCAACAAGTGAGAAGTATTAAAATACTCTAGGCTACATTGAGGCACCCTGTCTAATTGGGATCCAAGCACCTTCTCACCTGGTAAAGCATCTGCAGTATTTGCATAGGCCCAATTTCAAGCGGGTCCAGGTTGAAGAGACGGTTTAGCCCTGTGGCTTCGAACTCCTGGACAAATGAGAACAGAACTTCCTGGGAAGCCCTCTGATACAGAATGACCAGCTCCTTGAAAAAGGATGTTTCTAGATTTGACCATAGGCATTCTGTAAAGAAAACAGCTAGTGAGGTCACAGGTAACATACAGATCACTGCAATTTGTGGATGAAGCTGCTTTTTCTCTTTATCAAATGAATTGAACAAAAAAAAAAGTTTAAGCTTGCACTACAAAAACGATTAAAAGTCGGACAGAATTTTTAAAATTCCTTGCTGCATAGTTCCCATGTTTCTATGTCTATCAAAAGCAATTATTTCAAGCTCTGGAACACAATCATCAGGGATAATAACACTTGTTCTGCAGCAGAAAATGACCAAGCATTTAAATAATTCAGTTCTACCATCATAAAACCCTACCAAGAGTTTGCAGGCCTTCTGGCTGGAGCTTCATGATGGCTTCAGCCAGAACAATCAGAGAAAGGACAGGGAATTCATCCTCCTCCCTTAGAAGAAAAGGCAGGATCAAGTAGACTCTGAAATTTTCAGGTGAGATGGGAGAGGAAGACAATGATGACAGTAAGTTCCTAATCCCCATTTGCACCTTCGGAGGGGAAAAAATAAAAAGAGACAAGGGTTAAAATGCAATTATATTTTGCCAAAGTAATTGGGTTAGCATGAAATTCTTAAGTTTCATGCACAAATCCAAAGCTCCTCACTATCTGTGTTGTGAGCATCCTTATATCAAATCCTTACCTC